GGACATTATAAGATGTATCTTCTACCTGCTCCTTTTCGAACAGAAAATATAAAATTTACATGTTAAATGGGCAAAATAATCATTCTTAAGTTTGTTTCATAAAAATTTTTTTTCTTTCTTGATTGTTTTTACTGTCTGTTCGAAATAAATAAAATAGATAAATAAATAAATAAATTATCCACATAGTAAAACATCTTTTCCGTGTTATTTTTGTCGTGAATCCCTTAGGAATGAACTCTACAATCTATTCAGTCGTTGTACGCAGCTACAGCTCAAACTGTACAATGAAACCACAGGGTTTAAAAGCTCGCAGCTTATGATGCACGTTCTTACACGGTACGGCCCGACACTGATGCGACCTGCATGTCCAAAAACCACACGTCACACTCGGTGCTGAGAGCTACCTCTGGTCGCAGTCATCAACATGGAAGGAGAACTCCCTTGTTGGCACATGTGCAGTGTTCGAGGTTCTAGTAACTGCTTCAGCAGCAGGATTGCTCGTTAACACGGCACGAGGGCTGAATGAATCTCAAACATGTTCGATTTTTCTCCTGACCTCATGACTCCTGATTGTTAGAGGCTAATCGAACCCTTGTTGTATACTACATGAAGCAGGGCACACAATGAGGCTGAAACTCAGCCCCATCTAAAAAATTCTCGCACGACTAGAAATCTGCCGAAAATGACAAAAACTGGCAGTGTATGCTCGGCTCTAGAGGTCTGCAAGAGAAAAATCTCCCAGAGCTCAGGTCCATCAATCTAGCTTGGAGGGGGGGATGAAGTAGCTGCAGCCCTAGAGAGAGAGAACCAACTAAGAGGAGCTGCAGAGATCCTCAGCTTAGGTGAGAGAATACGCCAGTTTATGTCGGTCTTCTACTTGGAACCTTGACAACATTTAATAAAGTACAACTGTGTAAATACTTTGTGCTCCAATCCATGTTGGACTAGAACCCAGAAGGCGGCTGAATAAGACAGATTTATTGTTTTATCTAGTCAGAAAATAACAGTTAAAGCTCGAGGTGTTGCTTGGTAAAATACACCCTTAGTACATCAATCTCACAAAAAGGAAAAACTTAAAAATTGGATTCAATTGGTTAATAGGATTAGGTCTTTACCCTAACCCTTTCCTGTGAGTTACAGACAAAGATGTACATAAATATCTAAAACTAGATCCACATTTTCAAGCTTCGTGATTAGAAAGGTGTCACTTTAACGAAGCCATTTGTTGCTTTGATTTAACCTACAAGAAATGGAGAAAACAGCCCCCCTCCGTCTCACCATAACTTTGAAGGGACTGCAGGGGATGTTCTCTCCTCCAAATCGGACGTAGATGGCGTAGTTCCCAGGGGCCGGGGCAGTGTAGTAAATATCAAAGGTGCCGTCCTCGTTCTCCAGAACCTCAGCTTCCACTTCTCTGCCGTCGGGCTGAACCACCATACAGCTCACCTTTCCTTTCCCAGCACCCTTTGCATTGACTACCAGGCCGAGCTCCTCGCCAATGGCCACGGTGGGGCCCACCCCGGGACCTGTGTGAAGATGGCACCTTTTGCTTCTGCTTGTTTATGCAAAGTGCTTTGTTGTGAACATCTTGTGCTTCGTTTACCGGTAACCGTGCACTTGCTCGCATCTCCGGACGCCGAGGCGCGGACTCTGTAGGGCGACGCAGGGATGTCGTCTCCACCGTACTTAATGACGATGGTGTAGCGCCCCGTCCGGTCAGGGATGTAGGATACCGTGTATGTACCGTCACCGTTGTCATGGATATTTGGCTGCTTGGGTTTGCCATCCTGGTCCTGAGGTAAAAAAATAAAATAGACCTTGAGGCATCCTTTCACACACATCGCTTTAACATGTGTGTGTGTTACTGACTGTGATGAGCACGCTTAGCTGGCCCTGACCGGCATCTCGGGCGTCAATGTTAAACTGGACTGGAAAGCTGGCGGGGACGCCGCTGGTGAGCCCGGGTCCACTGGCTCGCACTTTACTGGCATCGTGAGTGGGCAGCACTCTGAACTTAAAGGGGCTAAAGGAGGTTGGGATGAATCAACAACAACACAGGATTAAAAGCAGGTCACGAATCCAGTGAAGAAGAGAAGAAGGCTGAATGCGGTTGGAAAAGGGCTCAAACAAAGTTTCATAACCTTTTAATTTAGTGGCTTTCAGATCTCAGATGTTTTAGTTTGGACAAACTGCAGGATAGTTTATTTCGGTAGTTAACTTTCTACACGCTGGCATTGAAGGATCTGAACAGGACTCATTCCGTCTTGCCCAGGGCTTCCTATTCAGGTTTTTACTACTTCTAGAAACTTTAAGATTGTTCTTTCTGTTCATCGACTTGACGTTTCTGAACAGCACAGGTAGACGGCAAAGGCTCCTCACATCAAAACTGACAATACATTGAAAAATGACCATCTGTAATGAAAATAATAATAATGTAGTCAGCCATTATTATCATGATCATCATGAGCAGCAAAGATATTTTCAAAAAGAAGGCATCAATTGAAAACTAATGTAAACTTTTAAACTTTTTATCAATTTATTTCATTCAGTATTTTACTTTATGGGCAGCAAGTCTTTTTCCAAGAGGAAAAGTCCTGAATCACATGTTAAATATAGCTTTTAAAGTAATAGTGATAAAAACGTTAATTATCGATAAACAAAAATGATTCTAGAAATTATTTTTTATGCACAGTCCCATACTAGGAAAACATATACTTGCACTAACCTATAGTTTCAGTAACTTTAGCATTTTCCTATAATAAGCCTTAATGTTCAGTCTATCCTTCACACTTTACACTGGCTCCCTATTCACGCCCGTATAGAGTACAAGATTCTTCTGCACACCCATCACTGTGTGCACAGTGCGGCCCCCACATATCTCACTGAACTGCTCACACCACACACCTCTTCCTGGACCCGGTCAGGCCAACAGCACCGTCTGGCCCCACCCAGGACACGGCTAAAAACAATGGGCGACAGGGCCTTCGAAGCCGCAGCACCCCGTCTGTGGAATGCCCTCCCAGACCACCTTAGGGCCCCACAGACGGTGGATTCTTTTAAGAAAGGATTGAAAACTTTCCTTTTTAGAAATGCCTACAATTGTTGATTTTAATTTTTTTTTTTTAATAGGCTACGTATGCCTTTTAATGTATTGATTTTAATGATTGTCTTTTTACACTGTTTTTA